CTGCGACTATCTGACTAATGAAAAGTGCGTCGACTAAGACTCTTTTCAGTGACTAATGGTTAAGTCAACGATTAGGAGGCAGCCCTAGATTTAACACTGCACTGCTATAACACTGTCAATTCACAATGTGAAAAACATGGATTAAAATAAATGTAACAGGACCAGAGATATCGTCTTTTTTAGTCCATGCACACCTTGTCAAAACATTAACTAACTGCATTACCCATAATGCAACTTGACCTGTTCAATTGGAGATTTAGGTTATGCTAGTAGTGGCTAATGTAGCCTTGATGTAGCCTTAGTCGGAGATGAGGAGTGGGCTGCAAAAGTATAAGCTTACTTCTTTCTAATTCCCAGCCCCAACCGACACTGACTCCAGTGACATCACTTGAGGCAATTTATTCCTATTATTAGATCCCTCTGGAGCCAGCCTTTTTCACATATACAGTAGCATTCCCCAATACCTGTATACAACAGGTGTGTAAAATGAGTGGAGTTCCCCTTTAATGCTACATCATACAGTGATATTTTAGATAAAAATGAGCTTCCAGCTTTGTGGCAACAGGTTGGGAAAGGCCCATTCCTGTTTCAATATGACAATGCCTCCTTGCCAGGTCCATAAAGAAATCATTATCACATTATGAGTGTCATTTATGGGTATCCACAATGTTTTCAACATATATTTACACTTAAAGTATTCTCAGTAGGTTCACAGTATTTAATTTACAGTTTAAATAAATAAAAGTAATTGGTGATCTCTTCTTGTAGAATTGAAAGAATTAGAGATTTTAAGAGTGAACAAAAAATGAAGTGAATTGCTGAAAGAGATTTTTTGGCAGTGTAAGGCAGTAAACACAGCCCCTGAACTGAAATACTGCAGCTATTTCAGACTGTGCTCCCTCTGCCCCTTCACCCATCACATTCTACATTGTTTTGATGACCCTCCGTAGGGGTGATGGCCTTCAAGGTTTTAGCAGAGAGGACACAACATGCTGGGAGCATGGGTGGAAAATATAAAAACTCCTCCAGCTAGTTAGAAACACAGGAGTCATGTTTCACAGCAGGACAACAGATGCTGCTTGTGAGGCCGTAGCCTGAAAATAAAGCTCACAAGCTCTTCAGGATGTTAGTCAAACTTTGCTTGTGTAAGATGTAAGGAGTGTGATGGAGACACTGTACTCATCAAGTACATGTTAATGAAATATAATTACTAATATAATTAACTAATACTTTTTGATTAGCTTTAATGTTTTAATCATATGTCACAGAATTGGGACAGAATTGTTTTTCTGTGAAACATCATCAGTCTTAACTACTGAAGCTAAGACCTGAAATTATTATTTAAACCCTATTGTAGATCACAACTTGAGTATCTCATAATCTTAAGATATCAAAATAATGTCTCATGATTGTGACTAAGGTATCTGTCTGATTATATTGACTCTATCCAAAGGTAATGATTTATTTGCAATTTTATTTCTAAATAAATTTAATTTCTCATTAGGGGGCTTCACGTAATAGACCTCCCCATAATCCTGGGGTAATTAAATGAAATTAATTAATTAGTAATGTGAATACTAGAAAATATTTTAATTAGGTAATTAAGTTGTGATCTCTGGGTAATTTTGAGAAAAAACATGTTAGTTACTGCTGTGTCCTACATACTTAGTGCGACATGGGAAATACACGCATTAACTTTTTCTTTGAGTCTTGTCACTTTGAGGTTACTACCGATAACACCCAAATGTTAATTTGTAAAACTTAGTGCTGATAGGCAGTGGTTTTAACTCTGGACAGGAACTGTTTCTCTCTGTGTTCTAGTTTTTATACCAAGATAAACTAACTAAACTGCGGCTCAGGTTTATAGCACAGAAACAAAACTGATATCAGTCTTCTCATCTTGCTCTCAGCAATAGCAAAAAGTAAATTAGCATATTTCACAAAATGCCATACTATACTTACTATTCTTACATTCTTTATTTCATATAGAGAGCTAAGGTGAAACCAGAAGCTCACTAAAAATCACATAGATATTTGTAATAACCCTGATGACTAAAAATCTAAAAGTCTGGGAACATACTTTGCTCAACAGTATGCCTTGTGGTCCCTCAATTTGTGGTAAGGATGATTAATAATAAAAACACAATAAATATATATTTTTTTTTTACCTTTACTGATTTTTGGTTCACATCACCAGCTCAACAAAAAGAGACCAGTCGCTTCTCCGTGGCTAGTTCAGACATCACTGTAACAACAGCAGGGTGGGCAGCGCATAGACATTTCTATCAGAAGTGGACAACGCTATAGTACGCCAGATCACTTGAGTGGTCACTTGTGATTTCACTTCCCTGCTCTATAGGCAAATAAACACATACATCATTTCCAGTTGTGATATGAATCATCCAGTTTCTGTTGTACTGACTCTATATGGATAGTTAACACCAGGAACATGTTTCATCTTTGCAGGCCAATGAAAGAAACCCTCAGTGAGAAAATGCATTAACTTATACAAGCTTGGAGGTGACATCTAAACACAAAGAACTTCATCAACATTGTCTATAACTATAAATGTGTTAAATAAATTATAAATGTCTATTTTCATCCTGTTAAATTAGCATTTTCTCTGTGTTTGCAGCTTGTCGCATATTACAATGGAAGCAACAAAGAGATAATTTGGTCCCAGACAGAGAAGATCCACTGGCCCAATGGGGGCCCGCCGCTGGATAACCCCCCCTGTGTGTTTTCCACAGACGACCCCTCCTGCAATGATGGTATGACAACTCTGCCTCATTCATCATAACGACACACTTAAACCTGTTAAATCGGCCTACAGATGATTCTGCCTGTTTCTGAAGTGAAGTATTGTCTAGAACAAGCAACAGAAGGTTGACTAATGGACACACTGATTTCAGGAAATTGCATGAAAAGAATTATGACAAGAAAGTCCACGCACAGCACTGACATGAAGTAAAATTATCCCACACTTAATGGCAGGTTTTTTGTATTGACTTAGAGTAAGAACCGCTCATCAGATGAATATAACAGTGCACTAATGCTTTGTTTATATTATCACTGTCATCTCTACAGGGCCTGTGATATTTTCATTGATGCCGTGATGATAAATGTGTTGTTTTTCTTCAAATTTATCCCAACTTTTACTTCAATGAAGTGAAATAGCAAATGTAGAAGTGTAGCATTTGCTCGAATAAGCAGTGTGAAAGATAAGTGCTGGAAAGGGTCTGTGTTGTATGAACAGACTGACAGTGTCAAAGGGAAATGTCACAGATGATGAACTGAGGAGGAAAACCACTGCAATTATAAATGTATTTTAGTGTGAAGGAGGGATAATGAGTGGAGGAGCAATAAATCTGTCTCCATCCCAAATCTGAAGCCATCTGTAAATAATTTGAGAGAGATGAGAGCCTGTACGCCGCCTTCTCCAGTGTCGCTTTCAGCACCAAGTTTTGCAGCCATCGTAGTTTGTCCTACACACTTTCCCACATTCCCAGGTTGTCAAATATAGATGCGAGCAGTGTTCAGTCAGTTGCAACTTTCAACTTCAGCACTAGGTGCCACTAAATCCTTGAGTGTAATTCATGTTGTCAAAAATAAGAAAGTAAAGCAGTAGTTGCAATATTATGATTGAGATATGAGAAAAACAAAAGAAGTGGACAGATCATGCTATTTTGTACATTTTCCAGTGCTGTGGCTGCTTATTGCTCATGGGTTGTGTCACTTGGGAAAGTACTTAGGGACAATAAAGTTTGCAAACTGCATGACAGGTAAGACAGGTACAATTAGCATTTTTGTGTGCAGTGCTACAGAGTCTTGTCACCACAGTGAGGCTGTCAACTTTGGTGCCATCGTGTACAGAAACCAAGCCCATGCTCACTGATGGTATCTGGCAACCTGAGCTCTAATAGCAGGAGAGAAGGTGCACAGAAGAGCTGGGCAGATGGATATCCCTAACCCTGGTCAAGACATAGTTGCAGCAAAATAAAACCACTCCTTGGCTTAAGCAACATCATCAGGTCAAATGTCTACTCGTCCAATAGTTAGGACCTGCAAAGCTAATGACATTTCCAGCTGCTCAATTGTGTTTAGTGCTAATTAGCAAATGTTAGCTTAATGTTAACTTACACATTATAAGTGCTAAACATCTGCATGTTACAATGCTAACATTAGCATTTAGCTCAAAGCACAGCTGTGTTCAATACAGCCTCATAGAGCGGCTAGCATGACTGTAGACTCTTGTTTCACTTTGGGTAGAGCCAGACTAGCTGCTTCCCCTTGCTTCCTGTCTTTTTGCTAAGCTAGGCTAAGCGTGTCCTGACTCCAGCTGTGTAAATACTGCAGTTGATCAATCTTCTCATCTCATTCTTGGAATAAAATCAGTTAGAAAATGTATTCCCAAAATGTTGAACTACTCCTTTAATGGTTGCTGTTTCAGGTAATAGAAAGCAAATAGAAAATGTTGACAAATGCACATTTAGAGGATATTTATATCTATATCCATATCTACACAAAATTTTATCAATACTTAAAATCTGCATGTAAATTAGACATCTTCAGTTCACTGCTGCAGAATACAGTCAAGTGAAACATCCTCCACTGTTGATTAGTGTTAGAAATTATATTTCCCTAGTAATGGGTATCAGCTGTGATTTACAGCAGGTGGTATAATTAGTCTCTCAGAAAAAGTCAGAACTGTGTAATTGTGTGAAAATTGTTGCCGTTATTTGTGGCTGACAGATTGCTAAAACAATGTAGCTGTGCTTCAGGAAGTCACAGCTGTGTTTTTCACTGTGCAGTGCTTTTTCCTTCTTTCAAAGATATGAATGTGGACATCTGTTGAGCATATGAGAGACAACTGAGTGTTGGATCCTTCTCCTATTTCCAGGTCATCTGCCAGTTCTTGGTATTGTAGCAGTGGGATCCGGCTTAGCGCTCATCATTTTTGGTATCTCCAGTTTCCTCATTTACAGGTGAGTTTGATTGCTGACACTTCCTGTCTGCGCCCCTTTTTAGATCAAACAGTAGAAATGCGGAGGGGAATTTTTTTATTCCCCTCAAAGACAGACAGAAAGAAAGCGAGAGAGGCATGTTTGAAACTGGATTCATGGCTTGTGCTGCTATAGGTGCCAGTGTGGTATTTACACAATTGTTGCCACGGCAACAACTCAGCAGGTGATGGTGTTATAGCAGCGGAGAAGTGTGCTTAAGCTGCCAAGTGAGCTCATATACTGGCCCCAAACAACCCTGACTGCTAGTCTCACTTAATGATCATTAGTGTGTTCATTAAGTTTGTTTTCTTTGGGCTGGATTAAAGCTAAATGCCAGCCATTTTAATAATTCACACACTGATGTCAGACGATGATTATCAGTCAAGGTCAATTTTTGTGCTTATCTCAAAGGATCACATGTTTGTTTGTAGGCTGTCGTAAGTCGTTTGGCTTTTAAAATCATGCTCGAAGAATGCGAAGATGTCTGGTAAACTTAAAAAAGGCTGTATTTCTTACATTGCATAATCTGAGCAGCCAGTTTCACTGAGTCCTAAAAGGTATAGTTGAAAATATTTTTTGCAAATTTCATTTTTCTGTTCTTGCCTTATTGATACATTTCTAAATATTTTCTAGTAAATTCATTCAGATAGGACCTGAGGTTTCTTCCCTTTCCCCCTGTGTTTCTGGGAAAGGGGAGTTTTTCCTCATCCAAACCGGGGGTCTAAACGATAAAAGATGCCACATGCTGTAAAGAATGTAAAGCACTTTGAGGCAAATTTGTGATTTTGGCCTGTAAAAACAAAATTTTCTAGACACGATCATGGCCGCGGACACTGAGGTCATGTCCTCAGTACTGTTTCTGGGAATTTGAAGATTTTAGCATTATGTTTACATTGTACAATTACAAAAATTATATATATATATATTTTTTTTTTTCAGATGTATTTTTCAAAAAAAAAAATTAGGCAAAAATAGGTACTACCATTTTTCCTTCCAGTAGTACTGACAAGTCTTTGAAACAGTATTCAGACCATTATGTAGTGAGTTTTTCTAAGTGTGGTGTGTAGTCAAACACTCAGTATTTATAAAATCATTGCTATGGCCCTGGAAATAATTTTACTGTTTTCTGTCAGATTTCTTTCCCTTACACTTATGACTCAACAACAGACAAAAATAACTTACTGTAATAAGATGGAGTTGTGTCTTTGCCGTGTAGTCTTGTTCAACTGCCACGGATTGAACAACATCATTACAGTAATATTAACATCTTAAATAGACCGTGTGCACTACATATGTTTAGTTAAAACTACTAAAGTAGGTGTTTAAATAAGTGTGAGTGTTAATGGCCTCCCCCCGTGCAGTTATGTATCTTTATGATAAAATAATTGCCTGCCACATTTCTAATGGTTATAACTCTGCTCAGCATTCAGCTGTGAAAACAAATTCAAATGAAATTGTTACAGTGTCTCAAGTGGCACATGCTTATGGTGTATTAGATTGAGCCTCATTTAATTACACAAGAAGTTAATCACGCATGCCCTTAGCAATGGAGCTACTGGAAGGATTGCTAAATTCTGGGTAATGTCATGGGTAAAATCTGCATGTAATTAAAGAAAATTGATGTTTCTATTTTTCCCCTTTTCATGACTTCTTCAGATGTGTCTGTACATAGGAAGTTAATTGTGTTCACGACTAATAAAGATTTTTATGTAAAGAGGAGCTGATTTCTATGTCACTACACATCTCTAACTAACAAATCACACCGGTAATCCGATCACTTTCCTAATACTGACTGTTAACACAAACAAGTGTTAATCACCAGCCAATCAGAATGGATTTTAATCAGAGGAATGGTGGAAGAAAGACGGAGGAGCTGCTATCCATTTGAGGTAAATCCAATGAACCTGAATCTGAGTTGATCATGTTCAATATCAAACAGTTAATTAGACGCAGAGTGTGAACATAATTCTGAAAACGTTTACATCTCCTTTTTCTGTTTTTTCAGCTTACACTTCAGCAAGCACAGCATGGTTCCATAACTAGCTAGCTAGTTTTCCTGGACTCTTGGCCAGTAAGTCTTGTGAAATATGCTCTTCTTTCCTTCGAGTTCTTTTAAAAAAAATCTGGGATCCAAGTGTAACATTTAGAGACTTATGACAACAAGTATCTATTTCTGTTATGGGAACCCAACAGGGAAACTCTGATTCATTTTTGGTCCTGACCCACAGTTTTGAACTCTCTGCTCTAGTCCAACTATATTTAGATTCATCATTTACATAAATGACAGTTTTATATAGAAGGCTTTTTTTGCACAGACCTGAACATGTTGTCTTTTATTGGACTTTGAGTCAACTTCATGAGCCCCAAGGCCATGAAACTGTAAATGTAAACCTCCTCTTCATGTAAAAAGCATAAAATAACGGTACAAGTTAGATGTTTTTGCGTGACCGCTCTGTTTGATAGCAAATGCTAACAAATTACTTCCTGTTTTTGCAGACACCAGTGGAGCTATGCTGATGGACAGAGAGGCACACACGCAGCAGAGCTGTTTACAGCCGTCTTAAAGATCAACCAGCTGCTGAGAGGCCTCCATGTTCAGTACTTGACCTACAACAACACCACTAAAATGTTTAAAACACATTGGAGTTTAGTCACTGATGAATTATTCTCAGATCAATCAGTCGATAACCCACAACCTTGGGCGTCGCATGATATGCTTACAATTTATATGAATGACATATTAATATATATTTTTAAAACTTTTAACAGGAGAAATTAAATAGAAAATATATGATCATTTCTATCTATTATATAGCTGATGCTGCTTATGTGTTTGTTCGTTTGTATAACAAAAGATTTTATACTTTAATTACATTTCTAATTGCTGGGGTAATGGGAATTTTCAGATTTAAATCTAGTTCACAGGGCAGAAGAGGTTTCTGCATTAAAATAAGAGGCCCAATATTCTGAAACTATTTGTGTATTTTGTATAAGAAATGGGTGGCTGGTTTTGGTAATAAGTTGCTCCTCTGACATGATACAACTTGCAACTGTGCGAAATGTACACAATAGAAAAAAAAAATAGGTGATGGTGAATTTAATAAAAAGAAACCTGTGTATTAAATTGTATTTCTCTTTGTATTGCTTTGTGGTAAAACATATGCACTGCAACACAACATTTGAATGCCTTAGTATGTAATGTTGCCTCATATTCAGCCTTCAAGTGTAATTTTTGCTACAAACAGAAAAGGAAAATGGAAAATTCCTGTTTCAAGAATGTCAGTACCTAAAAGAAGCCAGAATAAGCCAGATGGCTGCACTAGTACAGGATTGTTGAAACAAGTTGTGTTCTATCAGAAACAGGTGGTTTTAGTTATTTTTTAATAACAATTTTAGACTATAAAACAGACCCAACAACTTGTTAAGACAGATATGTTTTTTGCAGTGTAAATATGCAACTGTCAAAATAAAATAATGCTCACTGATTTCTACTTTCACGGTGCTGGAGCACTCAGTAGATTTCACCAGGTGGCCGGCCTCTCTCAGTTGATCTTGGAGTCTGGGGTGTGTAGCAGCAGTGTGAGGGGATGTTGAGCAGAGCAGCAGTGGCTCTGTTGTTTTAATGGAGGGGTTGGTCCAGCAGAGGTATTCACATATGGGACTTATGAAACAATAGGCCCAGTGTGGAGCCCCACACTTTGCCCCTCTGGCTGCCAGAGGTCTCTAAACGGGGCTCCTTAAATAGCAAAATACCTTTTTCTTTTGCTGGTGGTGGATGGGGCTGGAGGGCACCGGCGGTTTAATGGTGTTTCCTGCCCTCAAAATGGTTGCGCATAAGCATGGCCTGGAGTATTTGTAGACACAAACAAGCATCAGAATCCCCTTTAAGCTCCTGGACTGTCCGACTTCACAGTTTGTCCTTGTCAAAAGGGGGTCAAAGAAAAAAACAAGCCACTTTTGGGGCGGACTGAGATGGTTCGGGGAAAGGCTAAAACACGATAATATGCAAACGCTGCAATAATTTCCTGCAGCCATCTGGAAGTATTTTACACCTTTCAGATTGTGTTGGAATGTATGGGCTCTGCTCGTTTTTCATTTCTAAGTGTTTCTAACTGAAAATTATTTTCCTCCGCTGTCAACCCCCCAAAACTCTACAGTTTTCACAACTCTGGACTAATAGTTTTATTTTTGACTGTGTTTTTGCTGTAAATCATTAAGTGTCAAGAAACAGCAGCTCCTCTGAGATTTGCCCCAGATGTGTTGATTTGCTGGAATGCCTCTTCCCCTCTGTGGTGCTCGGTGTTTGCCAGTCAGACTGATGCTCAAAAATAACACTCAAAACATGTCAAAAATATAACTGACATGAAAATTACAAGATTAATGAAGCTGGTTAGGATGTGCAGACATTTGGAGGCTGTTTGCAGCTGTGGAGCACTTTCTATTCATTTCTAATTTAATCCATCCACCCATAATGCACCATATATTTTATCATTTAGGACAGACTCAAATTATGAAGTTTTAAGGTTTTACTTTAAATGCCTACAAAACATTACATAACATAGAAATATTATTATAGTTACGTGACATGATCTAATCTACCCTAACTTTAAATACTGTAATAGAAATATGACACAATTCAAGGAAATGTAAAATACCATAACCTCTCCTAACCTAACCTGACATACCATAACACATCTAAGATAATGTAACGCAACATGATGTAACGTAACATAACATAATCTAATTTACCCTAACTCGTCCTAACATAATAACGTAACGTAATGTAACGTAACGTAATGTAACATAACGTAATGTAACGTAACGTAACGTAACGTAACGTAACGTAACGTGACGAGACCTAACCTAACATAACGTACAGTAATAATAACTTGAAATGTAACACACTGCAACAGAATGTAAAATAGCATAACACTTATTAGTATAAAAACATACATTTTGTTCATAAACAGTTGTTAAACATGTATCCTTACTGTTTGTTACATTATATTACAGTTGCTTTGGCTCAGTTTTCACAGCAGGGTTTCAATCTCCAAAACTGTTAAAACACAGAGCCAGATGAGGCAGATTTTTATCTTTAAACACAAAAGTGTCTGTCGTTGCATACAAAGCTGCAAAACACTAAATCATGTGTGCAGTCCTCAGAATACAGAATACATACCTGATACCATTTTATCTGAAATGAAACAATGATTAAAATTCAATGACGACCATAAGACATTTAAGACATTACCTATTTAATCACCTACACTTACTTACTGGTTCACTTACATTCATTATTTCAATTTTAAGGAACCATTGTTTTTATGGTTATTTTTGTACCAGTATTAGTACTAAGATAAGGCTAGAACATCTGAGTCCAATCTCAGTGAGATTGTTAAAAATAAAGAGCGTGGGAGTAAGAATTGAAGTGGATTCTAATCTTCATCATGGTTATCATTGTTTTTCACAGAAGAAAAGACCTGTGAGTCATCAGTCTCCATTGTGTACATTTAGTTAAAGCAGAAGAAATTAGGCTTTCTGTAGAGTTTGAACTCAAGTCCAGTCCACACAGGAAGATAGAAGAGCCGTAATTTGATAAGTTTAGCGCATTCTCAGCACAACACTCAATCAACTCGTCATTTCAAGTCACATATAAGGCTGTTTAAAAGGGTCAGATAGTAATGTTGATTTGGCTTTTTAGTTACTAATTTAAAATCTGTTTCACTAAATTCCACTATGTGTCTTTACTGTGTAATGTTGTTGCATGTTTCAGCATGTGTTTGAAAGAAAGAGCCCTTTGTCAGGGGGACAAAAAAAACACCTTAAAAAGTAGTTTTCCACTTTGTCAAAGTTAAATATGTAGAGCATATGGACCAGTGAAGTTAAAATCTAATAAAATGCAAACACACAAGCACTTGCATGCATCAACACACGTACAATCAACATTGCTATGCAAAAGCTGGACGCGAGGCATTCTGCAGTCAGGTCTGAGACCGCTATCTCAGAAAAGACCACCAGGGCCAATGGAGATCAAACGTAACTGCACAAATGAAGCAGTTAACTCTTTGTTTAAGGTGACTTGCCAAAATAAATCCATGTTGTTTTACATGTCATAGAGTCAACAGACCACCTCGCCTCTGAAGGCTTTATATTAATTTATTTAGTTTGTATGAAAAAGTTAAATTAGATGGACGCCCCCTCATGCCCAGAGTTCAGATTCAAACCCACAAAGTCACAATTTTGTGGTAAAAACATCAGCCCACTCCCACGCCACAACCCCAACCCAGTCCACTTCATCTATTCTCCGTGCTGCTGTCCTTGTTGAGTTCACCACCTGGTTTTTTCCTTCTTTTCAGGAAACTGAAGCTGGAGAAGGAGCTTGCTGGAATGCTGTGGAGGATTCGGTGGGAGGACCTCCAGTTCGAGAGCCCCAATAAATACCACAAACGGGCCGGCAGTCGACTCACCCTCTCACAGGTAGATGATCCTCTCAAATAGTGCTGTTGTAAGTACAGATTTATATAGGAAAAAATAATAAAACGGTTACGTTGTCTTGTCTGGTCCACACAGCTCTCATTCACACGACTGATTATCAGCCTCGAGATGTCGCTGCTGTAAAACTGGACCCACCAGGAATCGATAATGCTAATTTGACACATTTGAAGTTTAGAGCTTCAACCTGTTTACAGACTGTGTGCTGTGTATTAAAATGCAGTTTGGGGAAAGAAAAAAGCAAATCTGCAGCCCTTAGAGAGTCCAAATCCTTTGTTAGTTTACACATTCCTGAAAGCTCTCCTAGTGGTTTATTGAAGGTGGCCGGGTTTGCGGTGGCAGACGCATATTAAATGATTGTTAAAATAAGCCCTTGTCTGGCCCAGGTCCCTACACATATAATACCTCATCACGTTCTTCAAGTATCAAGTTCTGTTGTCTGAGAGCTAATGCATCTCCCTCGGGTTTGTGTTTCATCCCACACGTGCAAGCGTTCATGAAAAGCACATGCGCACACCTTTTTCATTACTGGTTTTCGGTCCAATTGCTGGGATAATGTGTGTGTGGAAAACACAGTAATTTTCCAGACCGATGTATTTTCCAGTGTGCCATGTGTTGCCAGTATTTGCATTCTATACAAATGCGTAGTTGACTGTGCTGGCTGTCTGTATGCAGCGCGCCCACTTGATTTTTATTCACTCTGTGTGCACTGCAGACATTTGCCCAAGGACTCGAGTTGGTGCTTTATTTTCTCAAATATATGAGAAAGGCAATTTCATGTTGCACAGAGAGAGGTATTTTGGATAAGAATGTCAGTGGATGAACCCCTTTTAGGAAGCTGTGTTGCAGTAAAGTGGAAGCACAGTCTTAAATGACCAACATTTAATCCTCTTTGCTCTAATCTACACACTGCCAACTGACTTTTTTCTTCTTTTTTTTTCTTCTTCTTCTTCTCACTACTCCTTTCCACCTTCTCAGAGAGGCTCCAGCTATGGCTCCTTGATAACTGCCCATGGAAAATATCAGCTATTTGCAAAAACCGGCTATTTTAAGGTAAGGCTTAGTGAGTTCTGACATTTTCAACTCCTGCGCACTCCTTTCCCACCCACACATGTGCACACTCGCAGAGAAAGCCGGAGAGCCGGAGAGGAGAGAGAAAGAGAGTGTGGGCGAATTTAGGTAGTTGGTTTTAATGTGAGCTGCAGAATGCGTCAATTTTCATCTTCTTCTTTTTTTTTTTCCTTTCTTTGTTTCTACACTCCCACCTCGCAGTCTGGACATGGCCATCAACTTGTTGCTGTGGTTAATTTAGCCGTTTAAGATGGAGGAGGATTGAGGGAATGTGACAAAAAGAGCCCTCTGAATAATGAGATAGCTGTGTTTTGTTTTTAGCTGTATGGTGCAGGTATAAATGCTGATGTCACGGTACAGCTTGAACGTCTCATGGATCACTGGAGGTACTGATACACTTCTCAAATTCAATATGGGCTAGGGGTGATTGAATCTGACACCAAAGCTGAAACAGAGACGTGCAAAAGCCTCAACAACCTGCAGATACTGGAAAATAACCTCTGAAATGAAGTGTTCAGAAGCCAAAAGTATCTGCTTTCAAACACACG